CCCCAAAAAAAAAAAGAAAAAAGAAACACGTTTAAAGAAAAAGTCCTTCACACATTTCCCCACTTGAACATTTCCTTTGGCACCCACCCTACTTGAACATTTCCCTTTGGCACCCACCCTCCCACTCCCAGACATGATTCCCGTTTGTTTTCTCCCAGAGCGGTCCCCATCATCTGTCCACTCACTCCCCGTCATACACTGCTCACCTCGTGTGGCGGGTAAAGAGCAGCGTTTTTTGATCATTTAAGAAAAAAAAAAAACAAGAAAGAAAAGACGGACATGCGTGTGTCACTGCGTGTGTTTGAAAGTTCTAGTTTTTCGCTACCCTAGAACTAGAGTGACAAAGTTCTATCTGACATTTGTGGCCGTTTTGAGTTACCATACTAAGACCATGAGGTCAGAAGCCAAATTAATGTTCTTTCTGCTCTATCAAATTCCTCAGATTATCCGGAGTCGTTATGAAGATATTCAAAGAATAGCTTTCGTAAAACTCAAAAATTTTGAGGTCCTATCTTTTTTCTTTTCCTCTGTTGTTTCTGTCTGTCTTTCTTTTTATTTTATTTTTCCGTGGGTGGCTGTTGGGTGCTCTGACGTGGTAACTTTTTTTTCCTATCAAACTTCTATCGTCCTTATCTCTCCTCCTCCTTTCTTAGTAAGTTACTCTCTAATAATACCTCTAGTTTTCAGCTCTCATATGAACTACTTGAGTTACAAGTGCCGTAAAACTCTTACTGAAACTAAACTTACTTTTTCCTAACACTAAATTATCATCATTGTTTCGGTGGGCTTTTCTTTACTCAAACAAATGAACGTGGGTGGTTGGCGGGTGCTCTGGTGTGGTTTGCTTCTTCTTTCCTATCAAACATATATCGTCCTTATCTCCCCTCCTTCTGTTTTGTGTTTGTTACTCTCTTGTAACACCTCTAATCTTCTGGCGCTCATATGACCTTATGCAGTTGTGAACGCCGTAAAACCTCTACTAAAACATAAAAACAAACAAATGAACAAACAAGCAAGCAAACAAACCAACACAAAAGTATCACCAACGTTCTAAATATACAGTCCCTGCAGCGACGCCTGGGGTGTAACGGTTAGGCGCTTCACTGTCACAGGCAAGAGACCAGTGTTCAATTCCCTAGTGGGTACAAATTTGTATAGAGTGTCTCGGTCTGTCTGCTGGGATGTTGTGTCCCTTTCAGCAAGGCTTGGCCCTGACAAGGCAGGGTAGGATTAGGACCCCCCACCCCCACCCCCCGCCCCTACTAAATGACCTAATTTGTGTCGATGTGGGTGTAAAATAACGTCAAGTGTTCAAACAAAAGATTAACTGTTCCTGGTGAAGCGCGGCCGTTGTCGTGTCGTCGCTGTGTACATTACAACTCATCAGCAACACAACCCAACCCATCTCTGTCAGTTTATTTATGTCACTCTTCTGTTTCTAAATGGTTTGATATGTCCCATATTCCCCCTTCCCCCTCCATTCGCCTCCGAACACCCATTCATCCCCCTCTCCCCCATTCATCCCCCTCTCCCCCATCCCCAC